TATACAGCAGTATAAAGCAGACTCAAATACATAAAGAGATGTACCTTGCACATGGATTGAATGACCTAATATTATTATGGTGCTAGGTTTCCCCCCAAAATGATCTATAGATTCAGTGTGATCAAAGTCAAAACATCAGCTGACTACTTTTAGAAGCTAATGCTTAATTTTATATGGAAATGAAAAGAAATCAGAATAGCCAAAACAACTTAAAAATGAAAAGCCTGGCAGAAGTACTCTGCCTAATTTCAACACTTTTTATAAATCCATAGCAATGAAAATAATAATTGCACAGAAATAGGAATAGAGATCAATGGAACAGAATGAACAATCCTGAAATAGATCAATACATATATGATCAATTAATATTTTACAAACGTGCCAACATATTCAATGTGGAAAGGATACTGTTTCAACAAATGGTGCCAGCATGATTCAATATCTATCTACCTACCTACCTACCTATCTACCTACCTACCTATCTACCTACCTACCTACCTACCTACCTATCTACATACCTACCTACCTACCTATCTACCTACCTACCTATCTACCTACCTACCTACCTAATCTACCTACCTACCTACCTAATCTACCTACGTACCTACCTATCTATGTACCTACCTACCTACCTATCTACCTACCTACCTACCTATCTACCTACCTACCTATCTACCTACCTAATCTACCTACCTACCTACCTATCTACCTACCTACCTATCTATAAATATTTCAATATATATTAATTGAACATAGACTCTTCTGTTGTACCACATTAAAATGTAGCTTGAAACGGGTCAAATGTGTAAGAACTACAACTATAAAACCATTAGAAGAAAACACTGGACAACATCTTGGTAAACATGGGGTAGGGAAAATTTTCTTAAATAGGACACAGAAATCTAGAAAAATTTATAATTTGAACTTCATAGAAATAAAATGTATCCACTCTTCAAAAGAGACTCTTAATAAAAGGAAAAAAAAAAACAAGCCTCAGACTGGCAGAAAATATTTGCAACAGGTATTTCTTACAAAGACCGGAATCCAGAATACATACAGACGACAAGCAACCCAATTATTTAAAGAAGTACGTGCAAAAGAATTAAACAGATATTTCATGAAAGAAGATACATAGCAAATCAGCATGTGTAAAGACACTACACATCATTAGTCATTAGACAAATGGAAATGAAAGCCACTAGAACCTATGGTGATGGACCCACTAGAATGGCTAAAGTTCCAATGACTGACAACAGCTGGTGGTGGTGAGGATATTGGAAAGTGGAATTCTCATAGTAATGCAACTGTAGAGCCATTTTGGGCAATAGTGTGGCAGCTTCTCACAAAGTTAAACATATACTTGACCCAACAATTCCACTCCTAAGTACTTACCCAAGAGAAATGAAAACGTCACACAAAGATTTATATGCATGGCTATCCATGTACACACAAAGAGGGTGCAAAGGTGACCTTGCAGTGAGTGAAAGTCATATGCAGTGAAGAAAGGATGGCCTTTCCAACAAATGGTACTGAAGGAACTGCGTGTCTCTACAGAATAAGGACAAATTATAACTCACAGTATTAAAAAAATTACTTTCAGAGGGATGATAACAGATCTAACTATAAAAGGTAAAAGACAAAAGCTCTTTGGAAATAACATAGAGTATTTTTATATATTTGGCCAGATTAACACAAAACACAAAAGTACTCATCATCAAGGAACAAACAGATTAATTGAACTATATTACATTTATGATTTGTTATTCATCAAAATATATCATTTATACTATTTAGATAATGGAAAGGCAACACACAGAGTAGAAGATTCTCTCTCTCTATCTATCCATCTATCTTCAACAAATAAATCAAATTCAGAATATATGAAAGATCCTTCAAATCAACAAAAGAAAGAAAATGCAATAGAAAAATTAGGATGTGATTTGAATAGCTACTTCACACAAGAAGATACCCAAATGAAAAATGTACATATTAAAAGGTGTTCAAATTCAGTTGATATAAAAGAAACACAAATTGAAAACCATAATAAGATACCATTACACACCCACCAGCATTGCGAACATTTAAAAGACTAACAATCTGAGTCTTGTGGAAGATGTAGAGCAACTAAAACCTCCTTAGGCTACAAATGGGAGTATATATTGGTATAAACCCTCTGGAGTACCACTGGGCAGTACCTGCAGATGTATTCCCCGTGCCACAGCATTTCCATTCCTAGCTATGTACTCCAGAGAACTGCACGTATATGCTTCTCAAAAGATATTTACAAGAATATCCACAGCAGCCCTATTCATAATAGTCCCAAATTGGAAAAAACCTAAATGCCCATCTACATTATAATGGATTAAAAATTGTGGTATAATCACATAATGGAATTCCAAACAGAACCAGAATAAACCAAATATACACCAAATGTCTGATGAATCTCACAAATAAAATAATGAAAAAATCATCCAAAATTGATAAATTGGTCTATATTAAAATTAAGAATTTCTGTTCAGGGTGCCTGGGTGGCTCAGTTGGTTGGGCGACTGCCTTCGGCTCAGGTCATGATCCTGGAGTCCCTGGATCGAGTCCCGCATCGGGCTCCCTGCTCGGCAGGGAGTCTGCTTCTCCCTCCGACCCTCCCCCCTCTCATGTGCTCTCTCTCTCTCATTCTCTCTGTCTCAAATAAATAAATAAAATCTTTAAAAAAAAAAAAAAGAATTTCTGTTCAACACAAGACACCCCAGTTGCATTGTATAAGGAGCATAACACACAGGAGGGTTAGAATATTGGCCAAGATACTTGGGCCAAGACAATCTCAAGTTCAGATGAAAAAACAGATGCCTGGACATTTTACCCAAGCTTCCTTCTGAGTTACAGATTGCGGTGACTAGAGTGACAGTATCGAGCCCAGAGCAGTGCCCCCCAAGGTGATGGACAAGGGGAACACCCTCTGAGAGCGTGCAGGTAGAACAGGAACCCCACTTGAAAACAGCAGTGCCCCTCCTCTCCTTAGCAATTCAGAGACAATTAGTCCTCTGTTCCCACTAATGAGAATGCTGGAGCCTCCAAACCTGGTAAATATTCCCAGCGTGGGCCCCCTCAGGCCCTCTCAGCTCCATTTACTGTGACTCCAAAAATCTACCCCGCAGTTGCCTACCACACTCGATTTCATTTCTATTCCATAAGAGGCACAGGCTGAGTCTCCAGATGGGGCTGTGATGTGAATTTGCATTGTCCAAGGAGAAAGTGTTTAGGCCACAGAACCCCACTGCTCAATAACGTGTGAGATTGGTTGAGATCGGTTGGGAAAGTGTTGAATCAGAGTTTAGACCAGAGCTCAAGTCTGAGCTTTCCTACTTACCAGCTGCTTGGTTTGGGACAAATTCCTTCACCTCAGTTTCCTTATCTGAGAAACAGAGAGTTCATCTAATAAGATAGTGAAAATACAATTAGGTAAGTAAAGCCATTTTAGCACAGTGTGCCTGGCAGATAACAGTCAATACTCATTAACTCTTCCTGCTATTGGGATCACTGAGTCATTTTGTAATTAACCCATAGCTAATAGTTGACTGTGTCAGGATCGACACCCAGGTCCATACTGCTGAGCGTTAAGTCATCTTGCCCCCTGTTCTGGGCAGGGGGAAGACTCTAGAAAATGAGATTACACTGGAAAATCAGGAGGCAGCTAATCTGTTGTCTTTCTGGAATGTCATGCTTCCTGACTGCTCTTTTCTCCAAGTCATTCCAATGTTCCCTCTGCAGATGCATCTCAGTTTCTCTTCCTCTGTAACAAAGGTTTATACAAGACCATGGTGGCTGGGATGCTTCTTTTCCTTATTCTATAGGAACTTTCCATTTCTACTGTACTCATGTCTTCAGATTCCAAAACCAACTGGCTAAACTCTCTGTATCACTAACTCCAAGTTTCAAAAAGACAACCCGACTGACAACTTGACTCAGTAGACTCCGTGGTTCAATCACCTGTGTCCAGAGAGCCCGGCTCATATGTTATGCAGCTCTTCTTGCTCACTGTTCTCCAGCCACATGGGTCCTCCCGTGCCCACCAGGCCCTTTACCACCTTAGGACTATCACAGGTGCTAGGAAGCTTACTATGCCTACTGTTCTTTCTTCTGCTCCTGATAGAGCTAATTACTACCTTCAGGTCCCCAGTTTTATCCAACTTTCTCAAAGAAATTTCCTCTGACCTCTAATCTAAATTAGGTCCTCCAATTATACTTTCTCGCTGATACTACCTACCATACTTCTCCTTTTCAGTACTAATCAGGGTTTCTGACAATATGTTCACTTGTTAAATTGTTCATTGTCAGTCTCTCCAATTAGCCTGCAAGCCCAGGGACCATGCCTGTTCTGATTAATCTTTTTTTTTTTTAAAGATTTTATTTATTTATTTGACAGAGAGAGAGAGAGAGAACAAGTAGGCAGAGAGGCAGGCAGAGGGAGAGGGAGAAGCGGGCTCCCTGCCGAGCAGGGCTTCTTTTGTGAACTTATTTGTACCTCTAAGGTGCAGGTGCAGCTGAGGAAGTGAAAGGCCATTTACTCTAAAATGGAGCCCAAATCTGTCCACTTCACTCTATCTCCCCAGCTACCTTGCTGGGTCCCGCATGTGCTTCCTTACTGGCCTCCCTGTTTGCCTTCTGGGCCCCACAGCACTTCTCTTCACAGCAGCAGAATGCTCTTTCCATAACTAAGGTCACATCATCGCTGTCTGCTGCTTAAACACCCCCACACCCAACGGCTCTCTGACGGATCTCTGAGAATCTGCACTCCATGGCTATTCCCTAACCTGCCCACCTACTCACCTGCCTGTCTGCCGCTCACTGTCCTTTGCTCACTACACTTGACCCCACTTGCCTTCTTCCTGCTTCTCCAAATGTATGTGCTCCTTCCCACGTTTGTACTTACTGTTCCTTGCAACTGAAACACTCTTCCATGAAATTCTTTGCTTGGCTGGTCCCTTCTTATCCGTTTCTCCATGGTGAGTCCTCTGCTGACCACAACATTTAAGGTAATCTGCTAGTCTTTGTTACATTTTGTTTTCATTTTAGCAACCTATCCCTGTTTATTTAAGTGTTTGTTACATGGCTTCTCTGACTAGAATACTATCTACATGAAGGCAGGAGCCCTGCTGTATGTTACCATTGTTTCTCTGGTCTTGATAGCAGGGACTGATGCAGAGTAAGTACTGGCTGAATGTGGAATGAATAAATGAATTAGTTCTGGGTGCCTGATCAGAGGCAGATTGGTAAAGAGGTTATGATCACAGACTCTAAAGTCAGAATTGCCAGATTTAAACTTTACCTCCATCACTTTCTAGGCAACTTAGTTCCTTCATCAATAAAATGGGCATAACAATGACTTTCTCATAGTGTTCTTTCAGATTTCAATGAGATAATCCATCTTTATTTTATGTCTTTGTTTCCATCTAGATAACACCAGGACAGGAAACGTTTTTGAAGTGTCATCCTCCATTTGTTCCTTAGTTACACCACTGACAGGAAATGAGGAAACCACACAGTGAGTGTCTCTGACTTCTTCCTCCTGGGCCTGTCTGAGCAGCAGGAACAGCAGCCCCTCCTCTTTGGAATCTTCCTGAGCATCTACCTGGTCACTCTGCTGGGGAACATTGTCATCATCCTGGCCATTGTCTCTGATCCACACCTCCACACCCCCATGTGCTTCTTCCTGGCCAATTTCTCCCTCCCTGACCTGTGGTTAGCATCTACCACAGTCCCCAGGATGCTGGTGAACATCCAGGCCCACAGGAAAACCATCACCTATGCTGCCTGTCTTAGATCTACTTCTTCCTATGGTTCATTGGTCTAGATGTTTTCCTCCTGCCAGCGAGGGCGTATGACCTGCTTGTGGCTATCTGCCACCCCCTTCACTACACCTTGGTCATGGCTCCCAGATGCTGTACTCTGCTGTTGGTCATGTCCCTAATTCTCACTCAGTCATACTCTCTGACCCACACCATTCTCCTGGCTCAGTTATCCTTCTGCATCGACGGCATCATTCCCTACTTCTTTTGTGAACTTCTCCCCTTGTTGAAGCTCTCTTGTTCCAATATTTATGTCAACCAGTGTGTGCTAATATACTGGGGAGGGGCCTTAATCATCTCAATCCTCTTGCTAATTATCATTTCTTACGTCCGCATCATGGCTGTCATTGGGAGAGTCCCAACAGCAAGTGGGAAGTGGAAGGTCTTCTCCACCTGCAGCTCCCACCTCTCAGCAGTCTGCTTATTCTATGTGTCTGCTATTGGGGTGTACTTCCTTCCCTCCTCTGCTGATTCGGCCAGCAAGGACAGGATTGCAGCAGTGACATATGCTCTGGTGACCCCCATGCTGAATCCATTCATCTATAGCCTGAGAAACAAAGACATGAAGAATGCCTTGGGGAGACTCCTGAGTGAAAGGGCACCGTGACCTCCAGGAGGCCAAGGACATCATTCTGGGAATTCAGGGGATATCAACTTACAGCGTTATCTTGGTGCCTATCCAAATCCTGCATCCGCTTCTTGCCAGTTTTCCAACGTACAGCAAATTAAGTAACCACAGTGAGCCACCATTTCCTTCCTCATAAAAGGAGGTAATAAAATATTCTCTATCATGTCAACTATACTAAAATTAAAAAATTTGGGGGCGCCTGGGTGGCTCAGTCGGTTAAGCATCTGCCTTCGGCTCAGGTCGTGATCCCAGGGTCCTGGGATCGAACCCCGCATCGGGCTGCCTGCTCTGCAGGAAGCCTGCTTCTCCCTCTCCTACCCCCCCTGCTTGTGTTCCTACTCTCGCTGTGTCTCTCTCTGTCAAATAAATAAAATCTTAAAAAAAAAAATTAAAAATATCTTCTCTATCATGCAGTGTTTCTGGAAGAATCAGGAGAAAAAAATATGTAAATTTTCTCCTTTTGGGTCTTATGCTGAGATCCTCATTTTCTTTAGCAATATTCAACGTATTCCTTTGAGGTAAATACTTGCATTGTACAGAAGAGAAAACAATGACTCAAAAAAGGTTAAATTACTTCTATGAAGTTACACAGCTATTAAGTGGCAGAGCCAGAATTTGAACCCAGGTATCTGGTTCCAAAATGTATACCCTTCATGGTTACACTATGCCTAAATGGATATGAAATCCACAAATTTCTCTCAATTACTAGTTTGCTTTCTTTTCTTGCTTCCCCCACATCGTTCCCATACCCAGTTCCAATCAGCAACTTCTCTCTCAATACTACCAAATGACTTGAGGATGGGGCATGGCAAATCAGAAGCTAGGATAGAAGTATAAACACCCTCAGAGATCCTCATACTTCCCCAAGGGAGCAGGCCCTCTGCTTGAGCATAAATCTCTAGTTAGATATTCTGAAATGACTTATGAATCAAGCCACATGATCAGAGAGAAAGGTACTTGGACCATATTATTTTGGGCTCTCACCAAGTTTCTTTTCTGAGGCCATGATTCTTCAGTACAATGCCAACAACCTATGTTCGGATATATTTTTAAATATATCCATTTCATTATTGCATCTCCCCTGGGGATGCTGCTAAGGATGTATCCTAACAATCTGCAGAGGATTTTTCAATAACCCACAGGATAAATTTTGGAAACTTCACTACATTCCATCAATTTCTTCCCTGCATAATTATGACTCTGAAATCTCACTCACTGACAAACTCAGATTTTTTTCAGTAATTTTTTTAAGTGAAAATAAGACTTATACTGGAATCACAAATACCTGGTTTATGTATCAGTTCCACTATTCACTTCCTGAATGACTTCTAGCTAGTTATCAATGCCCCATCATTTCCAAATATAAACAAGTGAATAGTAACTATAGTAACTATCATCTAAGGCCGTTGTGAGAAATCGAGAAGATAACACATGTAAAGTGCTTGGCATAGTGTTTGACACATAGGCTGCGATCTTCAAGTTCTGCTTAAAACAAATATCATATGTAATTTTCTCTTGTCCTTCTGGATAGCTGAATCCAGGAGGACTTCCCTGAGGAGGTACCATTTGTGATGGGTTTTGAAGTCGCGTATGTTATTGTAAAACAGAAAAGAGAAGTTTTTCAATGCATCATGGAACACTACATCAAAAACTAATGATGTACTGTATGGTGACTAACATAACATAATAAAAAAAATGAAAAGAAGTTTTTCAAGGCAGGAGGAACAGAATACAGAAAAGCACAAATTTATGTCAAGACAGGAAAATGAGAAGCTGCTGTTCTGTAGGTGTGTTGACATGGGGATGCAATGTTCCTGATCTTGGTGTGTCCAATCATTTCCTGATGTAGTCAGTTTTTTTTTTTTTTTAAGATTTTATTTATTTATCAGAGAGGGAGAGACAGAGGCAGGCAGAGGGAGAAGCAGGCTCCTTGCTCAGCAAGGAGCCCGATGTGGGACTCGATCCCAGGACCCTGGGATCATGACCTGAGCTGAAGGCAGATGCTTAACCGACTGAGCCACCCAGGCATCCCCTGATGTAGTCAGTTTTACAATGTACACAGACTGGGTACTGCCACCTAAAATGGTCCCAGGCCATTAACTCATTGGTCAGTGTATGCTTATGATTCACCTGATCTTCAAACCCTAGAAAGCAAGAAGAGTGGTGAAATCAACATCTGGCTAGACTTCAGGCAGCAGGAAAAATCAGGATGTGCTGTTGCCATTGTAACCCTGGTTGGCATCACTAGAAGGCATGAGTACTAGCAGAGAATTGCAATTACATGCACCATTCAAGAAAAGGTGGTCCAGAGCCATGAGATAGCCTCAGTACTGAGAGATATTCCCAATATCTTTTGAAAGCTGGAGGCTCATTTTCTGGTACCAGAGATTCATTCACCAGGACAAGCCACCATTTCCAGAAGTTGCCTCACCCAGTTGATGGGCTGCTGACTACAGACACGTGAGTGAGCCTACCCAAAACCACTAACAGAGTTACCCAGCTAAGCCAAATCTGAAATGTTAACCCAAAAAAATGTAACGAAGTAAATGGTTGTTGTTGTTGTCTAAACACTAAGTTTGAGGGTCGTTATGCAGCACTTGATAATTGATAAGGATATGCTCTGAGGTGGATGATGCACAAGACAACAGTTGCCTTCTTCAAAATGCCTGCCTCCCTCATTTTCTCTAGACCAATAACTTGGAACAGATTTCAGCAAAGCCCCAACATGAAATAACAGTCCTGGCTACAGGAATAGTTACCTGGTTCATCCAAAGGGGAGCAGGATTTAACTAATACATACCACTAATCAATGAAGGAATATAGACGGCTGCACAAAGAAGTTATGAAATATTAGGCTAGACAGGGTCAAACTGCTTGACATGGGAGGACTCTCCTTATGACTCAGGAGACAGGAACAACCCGAATAAGTTGTCATACACTGCTGGGATCATTGATGGACTCGGACATGATGGCACTTACAGTAAATGGAATGCAGATGCCACAACACCTTGGCCAAGTACTGAGGAAGAGGTCAGAATCTCAGGGATTTTGTGGCCATGTTAGAATGGATTTATCATATGAGACCAGAGTATCCACCAGGAAACTATGTTCAGGAGACAGTCCTTTCACTAAAGCAATAAAGAATACACTAGTGAGAAGGACAACAGAATCACCGAGAAGTTGACTAGGGGCTCTCTTCCCTGGACAGAGCTGATAGAAAATGCTAACATGGAGCTTGGTTCCCTGGTGTCAACAGGGATAAAATTATTCTGGAGTAGCAAGGGCCAAGGTGGCAGCACTTAACCATCAGAAGTAATGTGAATGAAAATACCAAATATCAAAATGCATGGCAAGGTCAGATCTCCCACAGGGATTTGTTGAAATGGCTAATAAACCACTGTGTTTCTAGGGCTGAAATAGAGGGGAAGCCAGTGAGGGTACTGCTTAAATTATATAACCAAAAAATAAAATATAGTACGTAGAAAGCTGATGTTAGCTTTTACAATAAAAACTCATAATCCCTCACCCAGTACTAAGACTTGAGAGAGGGTTTAAGGGTGCAGCAGTAAGTCAAAATACAATAGAAATTCTCTATTTGGGATTAGGCTCAAGCAGGTCCAGAGAGGACAAGCAACAGAGATGGTCAGCACAGATCCCCATGCTCTGCACCTTGGCTTCAGTTTCTTTTCACTCAGCTCACACCATTGGTTTGTTGGGGTGGAAAACACTTGAACCGGGTTCTTGGACAAAATCACGATACATTGTAATGAGCTCAAAATGGATGGATGTCTACTACCTGGATGTACACTGCCATATACAACCCCATGCTCTGCACCTTGGCTTCAGTTTCTTTTCACTCAGCTCACACCATTGGTTTGTTGGGGTGGAAAACACTTGAACCGGGTTCTTGGACAAAATCACAATACATTGTAATGAGCTCAAAATGGATGGATGTCTACTACCTGGATGTACACTGCCATATACAACCCTACCTGGGACTGATTCTAGGGAAGAGTGGCAAGGAAAAAATCCAGTGGGCAGAGTATCCACTTGCTTACCTTTTCTGAACAGGGGTAGAAGCACAAAGATAAGAATATAAGCAGATTCTTTGGAAGTGATGAATGCCTCACTCTGATAATATCGTCAGTATAATTGAAAATCATGCATAAAAGTAAATTAAACATTATTCAAAGATAGAACTGTACATAGTATGTAGCAGGTCCAGAAGGGCTTTTATGGAAAGGTAGTGAATTACAGCAGACAAAAAATAAAAAATCGAGTAAGATACAAAAGGATTCAACCAGGGTTAAATATTCAGGAACTTCTTGGTGCTGTCTACATGCTCGATCCCTCACTGATTTTTACCTTGACAGGGTAAATACTGAACTAGGTATTTTCATACCTTATTTCATCTGCCCTTTTGCTGCCATGAAGGATGTCCCACAACAGAATTGTCGAACCTGGTTGCACTAGAATTACCTGTTTTGTTTTGTGTTTATAAAAAATACTAGGATCTCTTCTCTAGAGAGTTCTAAAGCTCCAGGAAATACTAATCTACAACTAGAATTCAAAAGCATTGACAATGACAGATAGCTACAAGGAACAGAACTTACCAAAAGACTTTATGGAAACAGAACTGGGAAAGAAAAGCCAAGACCCATATTTAGAGACACCACTATGAACATTTCCAAGGTTGGGCCGGCAGGGCTCCAACAATCAGCAGGACCACTATTGTAAACAGCCTGTCCCTATGGCTCACTTTTCTTTCTTCACCCGTTCAAGTGAGCTGATACATTAAGGCTTAACAAAATGTCACATCATGGGTAAAACTATACCTGACCACTGCTATGCAGGTTACTTGGCAGTTACATGGCAACTACCACCATCTGACTTGATTAACATCAAATTGAACACATGGCTGTCTACCATGTATAGGCATCAACGATATCTCACTCATTTTTACATTTTACCAATAGTGC